GGGAACTTCTAGAGGACTCTGCATTGTATTTCAGAGAGTCCTTGAAGCCCTGAAACTATCTACAAGTTTATGCACGTGAGGTCATATGTATATTTCCCTTGGGAGAGGCTTCACAGTTGGAGGTCCAGGCCTTTAAACTTGTAAAGCACAACGGTTCTATTCAAAAGCATGGTAATATCTGAACAATAGTCACTATCTTTCTGAGAGGCATCATTATTTAAAAATATTGACTGCTGTAGCATCTCATGGTAGCTTTTATCAGTTGTTGAAACCAGATCACTGAAAATAGAACGTCATATTTCAGAATGAGAGTCCTGGCACCTTCTTGCCATATAAAAAGTCATGTAATGATTTGCTTAAAGAATAAAGTAAGGCCGGGCTTGGTGGCTCAGCCTATAATCCTGCGCTTTGGAAGGCCAACGTGAGTGCATTGCCGGAGCCCAGTAGGTCGAGGCTGTGGTGGCCGGGAGTGTGCCACTGCACTCCAGTCTGGGTGACAGAGTGAGACTCCAACTCAAAAAATAAATAAATTAATAGAGTAATAGGGCAACTCCCTCGGGTCCCCTCCCACTGTGGGAGTTTTTCTGTCCTCTTAATAAATCCCGCTTAAAAAAAAAAAAGAATATATAGTAAGGATATAGTAATTTTCTTAAAGAAGTAATTTGTAGCCGGGTTTGGTGGCTCAGCCTGTAATCCCGCACTTTGGGAGGCTGAGGTGGATTGTCTGAGCCCGTGGGTTCGAGACCCGCCTGGGCAACTTGGCGAGAACTCATCTCTACAATAAATCAAAAAATTAGCTGGGCGTGGTAGTGCACGCCTGTAGTTCCAGCTACTTGGAAGGCTGAGGCAGAAGGATCGCCGGAGCCCAGCAGGTCGAGGCTGTGGTGGCCGGGAGCAGCCACTGCACTCCAATCTGGGAGACAGAGTGAGATTCCAACTCAAAAAAAAAAAGTAATTTGTTTAAATTACTTTACTTATCTAAGATTTCTCTTTTATTATTCACTGGAATAATAACAATACCTGCCTCTGAGTGCCGTTGTGAGGCTCCCTTGAGACAATGTGTAGTCAATTTTTAGTGCTCAGTGTTAACTCCTTATTATTTATATTATTTACATTATTATTCTCATCCAGTTCTCACAATGACTGACCATTCACTATAGAGCCAACTTGTGTTAGATAATTCCCCTTTACTGTATCTCATTGGACTCCCAGAGCATATTTGATGGATATCTAGTTTGACATACAGGTTATCGATGAGGTGCAGACACACACCTCTGTCCACACAGCTGATGAATGGCTGAGCCAAAACTACAACAGGATGGCCCGGAGTCTGATAACAGGTGAGAGAGAGTTTAGAACCGAGAGACAGTCAGTGACAGGAGGAGAGATCTAGAGAAACTGTGCTAAGGAGACTTCTCAAAAGAGACCACATTTACCACAGGACACGGGGTGTCACGGTTTTGCTGGACTAGAGATTAAGCTCAGGCTTGGCCAGGCTTGGATGTGTACGTGGGTGAATGTGAGGCATGTATGGGTGAGAGAAAGAGAACAGGGAAGTTGAAGGGGTGGGTGCAGTGGCGCTTGCCTGTAATTCCAGAACTTTGGGAGGCTGAGGCGGGAGGATCACTGGAGCCCAGGAGTTTGAGACCAGGCTGGGTAATGTAGCGAGAGCTTCTCTCTATAAAAAATACAAAAATTAGCCAGGTGTGTGCCTGAAGTCCCAGTTACTCAGGAAGCTGAGGTGGAAGGATCGCCTGAGCTCAGGAGACCAAGGCTGTGGTGAGATGTGATCATGCCACTGCACTATAGCCTGGCAGACCGAGTGAGACCCCCCAACTAAAAAAATTAAAAAAAAAAAAAAGAAAGAAAGAAAAGAAAACAGGGACTATGAGACTGGATATGAGAGTAGATAATTCGTGCTCAGCTGCGGTAATGATTATAAGATGCTCGTTTACTTTGACCTGTTGAGTATGGATACAGATTGGAATACCAAGTGTACCTCAAACACTGTCCAGACGTGTTTTTATGTGACAGACAGTGTTTTTAATTCAGCCCACGGGGCCAATAGATTATTTCATACATACATGCATACATACCATGAGGTAACTGATTGGAAAGTGACCAGCAATTACCATGGACCCATGTAATAGCCTGTGTCCACCACTGTCAAAGATCATGTTGTTTTTTTCTCTTTGTGGGCAATCCTAAAATTTGGTTTGGTTAGCTCCACCTCTGGAGGGTCCCAGAATGACTCAAGCCCACTATACCAAAGCTGAGATTTCAAATAATAAGAACAGGAACTCGGAAGAAGATGAGTCCAAGATTTTTTTCATTAAACAAAGACTCTGAGGTTAAAGAGGAAGAAAGGGCCTACTCCAGTATCCAGCAGGACTGGAGGTCAGGAATGGGTCATTTTTACAACAAACATTGAGATTGTCTCCTTTCATTTTCTGCAGCTTTTGCCTGTGCCAGACCCCTTGAAGCCCAATGGTTACATTTGGGAGCAGATGCTGTTTTTGAAGCAGATAGATCGTGTTTGCATATAATAAGAAATTCATCTCTTGATTACTTCGTTACTAATTGTCTATCCGGCATTTTTGCTGCTCATTCTGTTGCTTTTGGCTGCTGTTCCTTGGATAATTTTAGAGGAGGGGCAAGGAAAAGGCGAAATGAACCACAACTGGTTCCAATACGAACTCACCAAGAACACATTCCATACATCGATTGAAAGGGTGGCTTTGAGTTACGTTTTGTCTAGGAGGCAGCAGGAGTTAGCTCATTAGCTTTGACTCCAAATGTCTCTGAGCTTCACTCACATCTCTGGCTCCTACCTTGACTGTGAGACTGGAAATAAACCTCATCAAGCTTCTACTCTCTTACACGTTAATGAAAGTGATAATGCCGACTTCCTAGGATTTTTGTGAAGATTAAAAGCAATCATCTACATTAAGTACCAAGGGTGTGGAAATGCTACGTCATACGTGGCTATTCACAGCTGCAGTCATTATGGATAATTAGGAACTGGCTGTGGATGACCCTTTCATTAGATGGCTGAATGGCTTTCTATTGCTGTAGGTTTCACTGGACTGTATTACGAGCAGGGTTGTTACTTAAATGACTCTCTAGTGATAATTCAGCATTATTTGAAGTTGTAATAAGTCTTGCAGTATTCTTGTCATTATCCTAAAATTATCGCACCGTTATACTAAAAGTAGCCAATTTGAAGGTGGATATATATATTCTCTACCTTTTAAAAGTCTGTATTCCATTCCATTTAAAGTGTGTGGTAATAAAAACGGGAAAAAAATCCCGCAACCCTCAAAACCATCCTGTTGCACATATTATCTTTCTTAGGAGAAAGTTACAAGGAAGACATTGAAAACAGCAAGCATAAAATGAGCTATTTTCATTCCAAGGGTCTTTCAGTTTCAATGTTCATGCAGTTAGCTAGGGTTCTGAATGAGTTAAAATTTTCTAAAAGGAAACCTTATTTTACTGAGAAATAATTTAGTTTCGGTAAATTTCTGCTGCAGCATGTTCATTGTTTGGAAGAATTATGACTAAGAAGCTTATTAAGTATTTGACAAGTGAAATAACGATCTAATTCAACTGACGGCCCAAGCTGACTTCTAGCTGCTGAGATGGGTCTACCTGTCGGATGAACCAGGGTCCCTGCGTGGTGTACCCAACCTGGGCAAACAGTGGCAAATAAATGCTCGCATAGACAAGGCTCCTGGTGGGAGTTGCTGATGTAGGAAAAATCTACAGCTCCCTCTTTTAAGAATGTTACATTTGGCTGGGCACAGTGGCTCAACCTGTCATCCCAGCACTTTGGGAAGCCAAGACGAGAGAACTGCCTGAGCCCATGGGTTCGAGACCAGCCTGGGCAACTTGGTGAGACCTCTTTTCTACAAAAAATCACAAAAACTAGCAGGGTGTGGTGGCATGCATCTGTAGTTCCAGCTACGTGCCTGAGCCCGGCAGGTCGAGGCCGCGGTGGCTGTGAGCCTGCCATACTGCACTCCAGCCTTGACAACAAGAGGGAGATTCCAACTCAAAAAAAAAAAGAAGTGTCATATTTGTGTTTTCTTTCATAAACAAAGTTCTTAATCTGGTTTTAAAACTCAGATTGATGTCTTAGCCATCTGTGAAGCCAGTAAGTACTAGCTTTTTTATTTCCTTTTTATTTAAATTGGAAAATGAGGTTCAATGGTTGCTTTTAACTTGGAATCATAGAAGGTCTTTGCCTGAAAGGATCTTTTGAGGTTCTCTGGTTAATTCTTTGTTCGCAGATTGGGCAAACTGAGGCACGGAGAGATGAACTTGACTAGATGTCCTAACTCATGGCCCTACGTTGGAGGCATGGGCCAGCTCCCTTGTCTTTTCCCTTCCTGTAATTGTGTCTTTTATTTCCTTTGAACAAAATCTAGTTCTCTTTCCTTTACACGTTGACAGGGCCTACTGGGAAGAGATCAGGTGTGCTCATAAAAGCTGAAGAAAGTCACATGGATGGTGACACCGGGTGGATGATAGGTTATGCATACTTCTTTTCCTCAATACCCAACGATCTTCTCCAAAGACCACTGCTCCTGTCCCTGCTCATAGTGTCTTGCACAACTGCGGGGACTGTCTTTGATGGTGTGAGAAGCTTAAACACTTAGAGATGATGGAGGGAGACTTTAGGCTTCTTAGGAAGGAGCCAGGCAAATCAGAATTTCAATAGGACCCTCACCCTGTTTTGTAGGGCAATTGTTACTTCAAAAGATGGAATATTCTCTTCCTCCTTCCCACCAAAGATTTATCCAAGAAGAAGTTATTAGCAACCCAGCACTGATTGTGGAGTTGTGGAAAATGTGAAATTTGGGAAATGTAATCTGGATAATAAAAACAGAAGATTTCACAATATAAACACTTCTGATTCACCCATTTTAAAAAAGCATTTTAGATGCAAATGTGTACATGTTTCAAGATTTTTCTTCTTTATGTTTTTTCTTTAATAGATTTAAAGTAGAACAAAAATTAGACTTCAAAAAAGCTTTGTATTCTTTGAACCTAACTGAGATATTTAGACACGGCTGTGACCTTTCTGGAATAACAGGTAGTGTGTTAAACAATTCTTTTATTATCATGTTAATATGTCTTAAGACTATGTTACTAGCTGGTCTTAAAACAAAAAGAGCAGTGGCTCCAGTAAACATACTCATGGTGAATAAATGACATGGACACATTCAGTCTGTAAACAAGCACTCTATTTTGCATTTCAGTAGTTTTCCTTAATGAAAGTCAAGCAGCATTTTAGAATGTTAGGTAAGCACTTCAACTCTACTTCTAATAAAAATGATGTAGGTAAAAGTATTACATGGGCTTCAATTTCTGCCCTATTTGGATTTCCTTATCTGAATGACGGAAATTACAACTTTCTGTCTCTCATCTAAGCAGATGAACACAATTAAAAAATTGTAAGCCTAGGATCAGTGACATACATCTATAATTCGAGCACTTTGGGAGGGTGGGGTGGGAAAATCACTGGAGCCCACGAGTTTGAGACCAGCCTAGGCAACATAGTGAGACCCTCGTCTCTACAAAAAATAAAGTGCCTATAGTCCCGTGGGACGCTGAGACAGGAGGATTGTTTAAGCTCAGGAGTTTGAGACTGCAGTGAGCTATGATCATACCACTGCACTCCATCCTGGGTGACAGAGCAACACCTCATCTCAAAAACTAACAAGCACTGTTCAAAGAAATCAAGGATGACACAAGAAATAGAAGAGTATCCCATGCTCATGAACTGGAAGAGTCAATATCGTCTATAACCCAAGGCAACCCATAGATTCATTGCAATCCCTATCAAATTATCAGCTTCATTTCCCACAGACCTAGAAAAGACAACACAGAAATTCACACAGGAGAATAAAAGGGTCCCAGAAGCTAAAGCCTTTCTCAGCAAAAAGAACAAAACTGGAGGCATCATACTTTCAGACTTCAAGCTTTACTTCAAGGCTACAGAAGCCAAGACAGCATGGTGCTGGTACAGGAATAGACACATAGACCAATGAAACAGGGCAGAGAATCTGGAAATAAAACCATGGACCCTCAACCAATTCATCTTCAACAAAGCCAATGAAAACAAACACTGGGGAAAGAAAACCACATTTAGCAAATGGTGCTGGGAAAACTGGCTAAGTACATACTGAAGAATCAAACAAGAAAAAGAAGTTCTAGCCGGGTTTGGTGGCTGAGCCTGCAATCTCGCACTTTGGGAGGCTGAGGTGAGTGGATTGCCTGAGACCATGGGTTCGAGACCCGCCTTGGCAACTTGGCGAGACCTCATCTCTAACAGTAAATCAAAAATTAGCCAGGCATGGTAGCGCGTGCCTGAAGTTCCGGCTACTTGGAAGGCTGAAGCAGAAGGATTGCCAGAGCCCAGCAGGTCGAGGCTGCGGTGGCCGGGAACATGCCACTGCATTCCAGTCTGGGCAACAGAGTAAGACTCCAACTCAAAAAAGCAAATAAAAGAACTAACCAAGCCGGGCTCGGTGGCTCAGCCTGTAATCCCGCGCCTTTGGGAGGCTGAAGTGAGTGGATCGCCTGAGCCCACGGGTTTGAGACCCACCTGGGCAGCAAGATCTCATCTCTACAATAAATCTAAAAAATCAGCCGGGCGTGGTAGCGCGTGCCTGTAATTCCGGCTACTCGAAAGGCTGAGGCGGAAGGATCGCCGGAGCCCAGCAGGTCGAGGTTGCGGTGGCCGGGAGCAGCCACTGCACTCCAGTCTGAGCGACAGAGTGAGACTCCAACTCAAAAAAAAAAAGAACTAACCAAAGAGAGAAAAGAAAGAAAGAAAGAAAGAAAGAAAGAAAGAAAGAAAGAAAGAAAGAAAGAAAGAAAGAAAGAAAGAAAAGAAAAGAAAGCGGCCAATGTGTTTCAAGTTACTTACCATCTTTTAAATTCTTCTGTTTTTTAAAGGGGGCTTAAACTTCTCTGTCTGATGGGGTTTTGTGCTATAGTGTGAAATATCGTGGGAATGTTTATGTATTTCTATGTAACTATTGGGGCTTTGGCGAGTACTCATTAATTTGATCACTCATCAGTTATGTGGGTAAAGAAATAGAATGACTATGCTTTCCTGGTGGAGGTGGTGCAGGCGGGCACATCGCCAAAAGTGTTCATTATCACCCTCACACATTATGGCGCTCCTGGTTCCCACACCAACAGACGGAACCGGCCTCTTTGACAGTTTCAGCAGCGGCAAGTGTGAGACAGTCCGCGTCAAATCCTAATGCAGGCGCTCTACAGTGTGCCCTGGACATGGCTACCTCGCCTGCCCCCAGTAAACCAAACCAATCTCAACACGTCTTCCGCTTCCTGGTAAGCTTCTTTGTGGCCTGAGGACGCTCGCTCAATGTGCCTCAGATGTTTCCAATAGCCACCTCTTCTGCAGATTACTGGCAGTCTGTGACTCTAGAAAATCTTCTTGTACTGGCAGATTTTTAAAGAAAACGTCTCCAAAATGCTTTGTAAAAGAATCTGTTCAAGAGAACAACCCCAAGTAGAGGAGAAGGAGCTTGCAGTAGTCTTAGAGGAAGACTATCCTCCTGACCTTGGGGACCATCCTCCTGCATTTCAGTTAATTCACTTTGGGAGTACAGGTGTCCCCCCCAACCCCACTCCATTTCACAGGCTTCTGGCACAAGACACACTCAGAGCCACAGACTTATTTATCTGACAAGTATTTATTATAAGCCAACTATGTGCCAGGCAGCTTTCTGGAGCATGTTTCCTTCGTCTGCCTGAGGACACTGTTGGATCTCGCTGGTTTCACAAAGTCACTTGTCGCTGCTCCTGGACTCCTGGCTCCACTCCACTGCCTTGAGGAGACCCTCCTTGGAGAGACACTTTACACATACCTCGGTTCCACCAGGGAGGAGGTCGTTCCCTACCAGCTGTGTCCACACCAGAACCAAACGTCGTGGGACGCCATCTTACTCTGGGACATTTGACAGTTTTAAAGCACAGCTTTGAAGTGATTTTGAGACAGATGACACCAAAGTTCTTTAGATGTTCATAGCCTCCCAGTCTTGAGGAAAGTAAGTTTTGTCTTAAACTCAGATCAAAACTGAGCACAGAATTTGAAAGACCCACTGGCTTTGAAATTGCCTACACAGGGCAGGATTCACTCAGATCTGGAAAGCCTCTTTCATCCTGTCTGTGGACCACAGCTAAGGATGGCAAACCCTTTGTCCGCTCAAATGTCTCACTTGTTAGAGACCTGATCTGAGGCTCACACCCTCCCATCTTTCCCTTTTATATCAGGGAGAAATGCAACCGCTCCCTCTGTGTCTGTACCATCTCTGGAAGAGCTAAACACAAACCACCCTTATTGCTAGCAACTTGACTACATGGGACAATGTCTCTTCGTTTGTCCCCATTTCATTGCTTGTTGGAAAATGCAATTAATTTTTGACTTAAGAGGTAATGGCCCTTGACTTTAACGCTTAAATACAATTTCGTGTTTTTCCCCAGATTCATCCGACGTGTATGTTTCCCAAGTCACGCAGAAAGTTTCCTTTGAGATCAATGAAGACGGCAGTGAAGCTGCTACATTGACTGGTAGGATACGTGATTTCTGGGCAAGCAAAGAGGAGAGGTGGGGAGGGTGGGCCCTGGCAGTGCCCTCTCGCGGTGCCGGATCTATTTATCCCCTGTGTCTAGCATACCACAAGAGGAAGGAGAGAGTTGTCCTGACTTCTCTTCTGTAATCAAGCAAAATGAAAGGGAAGGGACTTGACTAATGTTGAGGTCTGTCTGCTGACATTTGCTCCTCTGCGAAGTGGATTCCCTGCCAACAAGCAGACGGGACCTAAGAAGAAAACTTCAGGGCTCAAATGGGAAATCATTGCTGTTTTGGAATGCCCACTCTTTTTTTCTTTTTTGAGTTGGAGTCTCACTCTGTTCCCCAAGCTGGAGTGCAGTGGCACACTCACAGCCACCCCAGCATCGACCCACTGGACAATCCTTCCGTCTTGGCCTTCCAGATGGCTGGAACTACAGGTGTGCGCTACCACGCCCGGCTAATTTTCGATTTATTGTAGAGACGAGGTCTTGCCAAGTTGCCCAGGCTGGTCTCGGACCTATGGGCTAAGGCAATTCACTCACCTTGGCTTCCCAAAGTGCTGGGATGACAGGCTGAGCCACCAAACCCAGCTGGAATGCTCACTCTTAAGTCATGTACTTTATTTCATTTCTTCATGAGATAAGTTTGTCTCTACTTTTCTAACTTGATTCTTGTGGTTACCTCTATGGTCATGGGTCTCAAACTTAGCTGCACTTAGAATTCCTTGGGAAGTTTTTAAAACTCCAATGCCAAGTCCACACTCCCAAATAGTGAAGTTCGTATCTCAAGGTGAAATTCAGGTTCCACTATTTTCTCAAGTCTCCCCAAGTGATTTGAATGTGCATCAAAGGTGTAGAACCAGTGCCGCATCACAGCCTACAGTTTCAATAGCATCACCTGGGAACTTCTAGGAAATGCAGAGTCTCTGGCCCAACCCGAGACCCATCAATTCAGATCTGCATCTTCCAAGAGCACCGGGTAGTTTGTGTGTGTTCCAGTTTAAGAATCCTCCACTGCTAAGTTTCCTTGAACGAATGACATTTGAAGTAGTATGCTATGCTGTGAATAAGTGCTACCTAAAAAGTCATTGAGAAAAGTCTTAAAACCAGTTAGAAATGGACAAGCAACAAGTCCCTCAAAAGTCTATTTAATTCCTCAAACTATTTGGATTTTAATCAATATTTAAAAGCTAATCATCATTTAAAACATCTTTTGATAAATATCTAAAAATTTATGTTCACGTAGCGGTTGATTTCTTGATTGATTTGTAACACAGCATAAGGCAGGTGGATTTCTTTTTTAAATTTTGGAGTTGTGGGGTACAAGTGAATATTCACTACATAAGTGAGTTACAGGTGAAGTTTGGGCATAAGTGGACCCTCTCCCCCAGTAGTGGACCAGGTATCCCGTGTGTTGCCACATGCCTCCCTTCCTTCCCTAGTAGTATCCAGCAGCTGCCCTGTGCTCATGTGACCGGCGGTTAGGGCCTGCTTATAAGTGAGTACATGAGGTGTTCAGATCTTTGTTTCCGGGGTTGGGCCAAAGGATTTTGACAGTGGGTGGGACTCACTGTTCTCTAGTCCACTGTGTCATCTCCTGAAGGATTTTGCTTGCCGTGTCCAAGTAACTCAGATTGCAGGGGATGGACTATATCAGTCCCTGGAGAAATCAAAGGGTACATGTGGATGAGGTTGCTGGCTCATGTAGACACATTGTCCTGCTGCTTTTTTTTTTGAGTGGGAGTCTCACTCTGTCACCCAGGCTGGAGGGCAGTGGCATGCTCCTGGCCACCGCAGTCTCCACCTGCTGGGCTCAGGCAATCCTTCTACCTCAACCTTCCAAGTAGCTGGAACTACAGGCACACACCACCATGCCTGGCTAGTTTTTTTTATTTATTGTAGATATGAGGTCTCGCCAAGTTGCCCAGGCCGGTCTCGAACCTGTGGGCTCAGGTGATCCTCTCACCTCAGCCTCCCAAAGTGCTGGGATTATAGGCACGAGCCACCGCGCCCGGCCTTGTCCTGCTGCTTTTAAACAGAACAGGAAGAGTCCTTATAGGTCATTGCCTGATTTCGTTACCTTGGTGGAGAAACAGGCCCAGCAATGTAAAGTGTCTTGTCGAGGTCTTGCTACTAATTGACAGTAGAGTTTGAACTCAAATCAGGATCCCTGACTTCCCTCACTGTAAGACTAAAACTTTCTAGAAGGCTGAAACAACCATCAAGGGGAGGCAGATGAATCTATGGTGATCATGACATATGGCACCTTAGAATAGGCAGCGTGAGTATTCTGACTTTCAGAAATCTGCTCAGGGGTTCCTCAAGGACCAAAAAGCCCAAGAATACACAGAACGTGGGATGGGAGCAAAGCTGACTTTGCCTTTTGGATTTACTTCCGTAATTGAGACATGAGCCTGTGTTCACTGGTAGTTTGCACAGCAAGCTGTGATACTCTGGGTAGGAGAGGGCCACTCATATTACTGTGCTAAAATCTTATTTCACTGTCTTTAAATTCTAATTATACATATTGATTTTATTTTTCCTGGGGTCTGGAAAAAGCATTGTACAAAATCATTGCATTATTGCTCAAGCTAATATCTGGATTGAGTGAAGAAACATTTAATATTGAAAGGAAAAATAATGCCAACCTTTAAAATTTTTCCATCCTAAACATTGACAAATGTCACAATGGAACAACACAATATAAATTATTGGAGTATATAATTTGTAAGGCAGAAAATCTTTGCTTCTAATCTCATAATAAAAATCCAGAATCCATATTGTAAGCAAATATCCCATAACTGGAGTGAGCGTTCCCAGTGGTTGAGAATTTCTCATTTTCTGAAACTGTACAAACACTGGATATCAGTATTTGTAATCATTAACGATGTAACATTACAAAGGAATTGATTTTTCACATATTAATGTTATAGTATATTATCTTAGTACAGTCTTCTTAGTCATTTGTACTCTTTCATTTTTCTCTGTTCTTTTTATTTTCACGTCCCTTGTAATAGTGTCTGTCACTTCTAAGAGATAGTTTATGATTAAGGATGTTAACATTTTGTCAAACATTACTAATGAAATATACCATGTTTTTTCCTGTTTTAAAAAAAATCTTGGTCGGGCATGCTGGCTCAGTCTGTAATCCCAGCACTTTGGGAGGCCAAGCTGAGAGGATTGCCTGAGCTTGAAGGTTCAAGACCAGCTTGGGCGACTTGGTGACACCTCATCACTACAATAAATCACAAAAATTAGCCAGGCATGGTGGCGTGCATCTGTAGTTCCAGCTAATTGGAAGGTTGAGGCGGGAAGATTACCTAAGACCAGCAGGTTGAGGCTGCGGTCGCTGTGAGCATGCCACTGCACTCCAGCCTGGGGGACAAAGAGTGAAACTACAACTCGAAAAACCAAAAATCCCATACACCTTCACTGTGCAAATCCTAAAAGCTCTGAGTTTACAGAATAACTTTAAAAAGTAAAAAAAAAAATCAATTTGAACTAGATGGTGGTATATAGAAATGAATATATCTAAATAGAAATTAAGAATTGAACATATTATGAGAATAAACCATCTAATGTAAACAAAAAGTGTGCAGAAAATTACTCTTTAAAAAACAAAAATTTTTCAACTACTTCTACTAAATTGAATCTAGTATCTGGCTTTCCTCTTCATTGAGTATAAATATGAAGTTAAGGATTATTTTGTGAATGACCCAATATTGATTCTTCTGCACTTTGATTTTAAAATGTATTGCAGATTTCTTTGTGTCTTGAAATGGGTTATTTTTCCACATGTTAATTCCTGACACGAAATGACCTTTCCTGTGTATGAAAACTATGGTGAATATGTTTACTTTACTGATTATTTTCCATGTGCATATCTAAATAACTGCTGTCTCTGTTTCATAGGCATGCATGTCCCTGTGATCATGAGTCTGGTTCAAAACCAGTTCGTAGCAAATCATCCATTTCTGTTCATTATGAAGGATAACCCAACAGGTACGTTTCCTGAGAATTCTTTGTGTTGGGGAGGACTGCTTAAGTTAAGCAGACCTAGTTCTAGTTGCTAATTACAGTCCACATACCTGAAATCACTTGTCTTTTCCACGAACATTGACTAAGTTGCTCTTATGTACCAGGTGTTGTGTTTTAAGAGATGACAGGTAGTCGGGCGTGGCGGTGTGTGTCTGTAGTTCCAGCTCCTTGGAAGGCTGCGGTGGAAGGATCGCCTGAGCCCAGCGGGTCGAGGCTGCAGTGGTCGTGAACGTGCCACTGCACTCCAGCCTGGGCGACAAAGAGTGAGATTCCAACTCAAAAAAAAAAAAGAGATGGCAGGGGCTTAACATAGGCAGTGGTAGTAGTAGCTGCCACCGTGACTTATGTAGTAGCCGTGTATAGCTACCTCTGAAGCTAACCATCCCAAAAGGTTACACATCGGACTAATAAAAACACAGAAAGAGCCAGGCCTGGTGGTGGCGCTTGTAATCCCAGCTAAAGGAGGCTGAGGTGGGAGGACTGCTTGAGCCCAGGAATACAGCCTGGGCAATGGAGTGAGACCCTGTTTCTTTAAAAACAAAACACCTGGAAGAAAAGATACAGTAGTTTGAAAATCCTCCAAGGTGTTTAAAAAAAAAAAAACCACAGAAAAGGATTATGCAGTTTGGCTAAGTTTGTACATCTAGAAGGTATGAAGGTAAGAGGCCAGGTCAACTCTCTCTCCATGATGCCACGACAGGAGTGGAAATTGAGAGGTGGTGAAAGATGTCAGAGGTGGATGCGAAACTAGCACAGGCTCTGATGGAGAGTGGGGAGTCAAATGATTCCAAATCTCCAGTGTGGATAAGTGGTGACATGTGACGCAGTGAGAGACAAAGGGAATGGAAAAGAAGCAGGGACCTGAATTGGCACTGGGCGGTGTCAACACGTCTGGAGAGATGTCCCAGAACTTTCTCTTATGAATAAAAGAAGCCAGGAACATGAATACAGTGGGGGAAACGGTCTTCAAGTTTCTGGTGAGGACACTTCAGTCATCCTAATGCCCGCGTGAGGGCTACAAACCCCAGGAGAGCAAAAATGGTATCTCATTCATCTCTGTGTCCAGCCCGGTATCAACATTTGGCAAAATCCCTTGTACATGATGTCAGCGCCCCTACAGACTGAGAGTGGAGAGTTGGGTGTCAGCCCTGGGCTCAAGTTCCAGTTCAGTTAACTAGCAGTCCTGAGACGACAAGTAGCTTATCCTTTCTAAATTGCATTCCCCCCCCTCTCCTATTTGGACATAACATTGGAACTCATCTCAGAGTTAAGGAAAATAATATGTGGAGCCTGTAACCCCTGTGCTTGGCACATACCAAGTGTTTGTCATGTGTCATGAATAAATCAATAAATATAAATAAGTAAATGACAAAATAACTAATGAATGAAAAATATAAAGTGGTTTACAAGGAGAAGAGACATGGTTAATTTCAGAATCCGGATCTGTTAGACAAACTAGGGATACTGATATTATTGGTCCATCGAGGGATGTACCTCTTCCTTTTTTTGCCCCCAGAAACCAATGCAGAGTGACCCTTCTGCAAGGCATATCTTAAAAACAACAAACCAGTTCTAGAACTGCTGAGATTGCATTAACACAACTTCATTTCTGGTAGTGGATGTGTCAGTGCTGAAGTATACTCAGAGTATGTCATTTGATCTATATATCTTTAACCTTTGGATAACTCTAATTTGTTACTATTAGTATATAATTATTGAGTATGGAGACAGGATGAAATAAAGCTGCACTGGCACAAGGAAATAATGGCATTTAGAATAATTATGTTTGACTCTATTTTCTAAGTTATTGACTTGTTATATGCTAAGGCCATGTTACAGCTATCAGTAAAACAGCTAAAATTCAAAACTCAGAACAATCCACTTATTTATTTGTTTGTGATAAAGCTTAACTATCAGACCTTAGTGACAATTTCCCCTATTTTATGATCTTTATTGTAATGAGACTTTCTAAACTCCTTGAAAGTATTATCCTAAAAGAATGGCCACTCATCTATCAGAGGCTGTAAGTTGTTGTTATATAAAAATGTAGAAGGGGCCATTGTCTTAAGACAGCACATAGTAGTTTGTCCATTTTTCTCTCACAAATAAACTCAAGAAATCTCTGAGACAAACGGAGATGTAGTTTAGCATCACCACAGTGACCTATGACATGGCTTCAGGCTTTACATAAATATATTCTGTTGAAGCATGAAGATGAATGATTTTAGGTTTAGTACAAACGATTTGTATTTAGCTTTGAAGTTTTCTTTTGGCTGAGCCTCTTGTGCAAAATCTCTATATTATTTGAATCTTCCCACCAGGTGAGTTTCATATTGCAACATGTTCATCTAAAGCCCTTACCAAGTTAAACTTCCAGGACAATAAAGCAACTTTTGCAGGCTGAGGGTGTGGCCCAACTTTAGAGACTTGGAGAAAAAAATTGGGAGACATGCTGCATGAAAGATGTCATGGCTAAGAAAACAGTGAATCTTGATTTTTTTTCTTTTTTTTTTTTTAAATTAACAGAACTTCAGACATCATAAAAATGGCCACATTCAGAACTCTCCTGGGTCCTGGGTTCAGGGGAGAAGAAATTGCAGAATATCCAGGAAGAAATCTTTCTTTTCTAGTCATGAGCTTGGTTGTGCTGTTGTATTTTAATATTAGGAGGTAACAGTTGCTTCCATCTGACAGAGATGTATATAAATATATTGATGAATATGGGCAACACCTATTTGAGAAGACATGAAGAGAAAAAGTGAAATAATAAGGAATTCTGCTTCTGTCTGCTTCTGAGTCCCTAGCCGTTATGTCAAGAGAGGTTCACTAATCCATGCAATTTAGTAGTGAGTGGATTGATGACTACATGAAGACAGTTCAAAATGTGAATCTCCTTTGTGAAAAAAATCATCAGACTGAAAGCTGAGACAAATGACTTTCATGTAATATTCTGCATTTCTGAGTGTTTAAATTTTTAAATTATTGCCTTCAATTATGAAGTTAATGTCCATAGAACTTATTTAGAAAAATTTCCAAACAAAAATTCTGATAAATGTATTAATGTCACAGTATTAAGAGTCATTGCCAATTTCTATTGTGCCTAAATGTAATAGTTATCCCGGGCAAGGTATTTATGCATCCTTATCTATCTGGAAAAAAAAAAAGTTCCTTTTCTCCGTAATTATTTTTAGATTTTGGGGCAAGGCTTTATTGACTATAACAATTCATAATAAATAAATTTATAATTATTAATAAGGAGAAGAAAAGTAAACTCTGCTGGAGATGATGTCCATTTCCGTGTTATTGGCTTTCCTAACAGTGTGTCTGTCTTTGGACCGTGGAGATAATGAAAAAGGGCTCTCCCATTGTAGTTTCAAATATATTTAAATATCATTTTCGTGAGCTTTTAAATTATGCTAAAAGCCGGGCTCGGTGGCTCAGCCTGTCATCCCGCGCCTTTGGGAGGCTGAGGTGAGTGGATGCCCTGAGCCCGCGGGTTCGTGACCCGCCTGGGCAGCGAGACCTCATCTCTACAATAAATCAAAAAATCAGCCGGGCGTGGTAGCGCATGCCTGTGATTCCGGCTACTGGGAAGGCTGAGGCGGAAGGATCGCCGGAGCCCAGCAGGTCGAGGCTGCGGTGGCCGGGAGCGGCCACTGCACTCCAGTCTGGGCGACAGAGTGAGACTCCAACTCAAAAAAAAATAAAATAATAAATAAATAAATTATGCCAAACGCAACGTCTTTGAAATTAACTGTTATTACGTGTGAGTGTCATACCAAAGCAGCATTTGACATTGATCCATCCAAGCCACTTCCCCTCGCCCAGTTGAAGACAGAGAGGGACAGAGAGGGAAGGATTTCAGCACAGCATTTCTCTGTTTTGGGGGTGTGTTTTCACTTGCAAACACAGTGACTGGAAGCAGGAATTTGCATTTGTGCTGTACATTATATCACTTTGGTGAGGATTTGGAGGCACGAGTAATATAAAAATGTTGTCTTTGGCAATAAAGTAAGCTTTGATTCAGAGCAGAAGGAGAAGTGGGAGGTTAGCCTTTTCACCCTGAGGGCTGACACTGCATGCACAAGAAGATCCCTGCTAATGCCTTACATTTGAAACTCTGCCATGCTCATCGTCGTGTGATTATGCTGTGTTTGCTGGGATGGATGTCTATATTTAGAAGAACGCCTCGTTGCCACTGTGTTTTTGCTTTCCTATATGGAAAACAGAACTAATGCATTCATTTTCCGTGTCAAGCTGTAGTGGGTGTTAATTTACTTCATACATTGCCATAAAATGGTTAATAGTGACATAATAATGAATTTGAGAAAAAAGGAGGTTTTGCTAGTAGGCATTGCCTATTTATTGCAGAGAGAAAAAAGACCACGTGATGTGTTGAAATATTAACAATAACTATGTACTGTCAGTTTTTTCCTCCAGAAATTCCTCAAGTATGCTGGGTTTTCTTTTCTTTTCCTAGAATCAATTTTGTTTATGGGAAGAGTGACAGATCCTGACACCCAAAAGATGAAAGGAAGAGATTTAGATTCACTGTGAATGAAAAGCACAGCCTGGAATAAAAGATGATTCCTACAGAATAATTGATTGGCAAAATATCGCCATCTTGAAGATATTTTCTATATATCTGATTTCTTTTCTGTTTTGAACAGTGCCTGTATTAATATGTATTAACCGAGAACTGCATTGATTAATAAGTAAAGTTAGATATGCATCTGTTTCTGTTCTTTCTATGTGTTTTACAAAATCTGTATGAGTCAAAAGCCGTGAGCTCCCATAAAATATCACCACACATATGTTGGAATAATCCTAACATATATTAAATGTCAAATTCTTGTCTTAGATATCAAATTCCTTATAGTCCTATACCACAGCCTGACTGGATTCTTATGCCTGCTGCACAGAAAAGAGCCAATGCACTGAAGCAGCAGTTGTTGCTGTAGAGTTTAATCATCACAAAACAACTGAGTGGGAGGACAGCAGGTATTCTCAAATCTGCTCCCCCAAGAATTTGAGGCTAGTGTTTTTAAGCAATAATTTGGTGGGCAGGGAGCTGCTGACTAGCTGGGTATGAAGCCATGGGAGTGTCAATATTTTGTGCACAGTGCCAGTTGAATCAGCTCCCTGATGTGAACCATGGGTCGAGGTGGAATAATGGGTTTACTGGGACACAAAGTCAGAAAAATACCTCAAATACCAGTCTTAGGTTTTGCAGTAGTTATGTTATCTATAGAACAAGTCTTGTGACCAGCAATAGGAAAGTAAACTAGGAACAATAGCCGATTACTGTCTAACTAGTCTTTATCTTAGTAGAAAGGTATATGGGATGTGGCATCCCCAGGGTGAGAGCTGTTCATGCCCCTTGGCTGATCAAACTTCTGAATGCCATCAAGGAAGGCTGCATGACTGAAATCTCACTGTTTAAGGAAAAACAAATGTATCCATCTTGTGGGTCACTTCCCTGGCGGTCAGGACATGAAGATAATCCCTTGTTCTCTATTGAAATGACTATGTGCAAATCATGACGCAGGGAGGAAGGCAAGCTCATTAACAGATTTGTTGACTCTAACCATGCCTGCAACTTTGCCTTAGGCCTTTTCCACAGCTTTTACTCCGTGGCCCGATATTAAGTTTATATAGGTGGTTCCATCTAAAATACTAGACTACGACGCCCTTAGGCCTAGTAGCATTATGCAGAGAGTGGAGAAGCAAGGTCAGGACAACTTAAACATGGTGTCATCCTGGAATACTGATTAAGGCACAGACCCAGTATCCCAGGCAGTAGACAAACTCTGGGTATTCCACTAACCATAACTTGCTATCCATGTGTGGCATTTAGTGGTTACCTGTTTTAATACCTTTTGGTACATATCTATTTTTCTCTTCTGATTTATGCTTTAAAAAAGAATGAAGTAATATCTTTTGCAGGAACTTGGATGGAATTGGAGGATAACATTCTAACTGAAGGAATGCAGGAACAGAAAACCAAACATCACAGGTCCTCACTTATAAGTGCGAGCTAAACTGAGGATCTGCAAAAACACAGGTAATTGTTTAATGGAAACTGGAAACTCAGAACGAGGGTGGGAAGTCACAGGGCATAAAAAATAATCCATCAGGTACAACACGCAGAGGTGGGGGTGGTGGTGGCTACACTCAAAGCCCAGACTTCCTTGCCACTATACAATACAGCCATGCGACCAAAAACCATTTGTACCTCCTAAAGCTATCAAAATAAGAAGAAAAAAGGAAGGCCAGGTGAGGTGGCTCAAGCCTATAATCCCAGCACTTTGGGAGGCGGAGGTGAGAGGATTGCCTGAGCTCAGGGGTTTGAGACCAGCCTGAGCAACACGGCGAGACCTTGTCACTACAATAAAAAAAAGTTAGCCAGACATGGTGGCACATGCCTGTGGTTCCAGCTACTTGGAAGGCTGTGCCGGAAAGATCACCTGAGCCCATCTGGTCAAGGTTGCAGTGGCTGTTAGCGTTCTACTGCACTCCAGCCTGGGCAACAGAGTGAGACTCCGGCTCAAAAGAAAAAGAAAGAAAAAGAAAAAAAAGTAGAAATGCTAAGAAGCTTTATAAAGCTCCCTCTTTTTATGGGTGAGAGTGGCAGCTGAATGAGTGGGATTCAGAAGGCGGACCTTCTACCACTGTAGACTCCTGAGCTCAGGAAGTGTGCAAGCCAGGATTGTGCTCTATGAAGACTAAATGCAGAACCTTTCCCCTAAATACTCCAAAATAGCAGATTAAATATCAAGAATAATACTCCAATATCACTTCATGCAACAAGTTTCATAGTTTTTCCTTTTTTGTGCTAATGATGTAAAGTGCCCTATTTGTCATGACAATTTTTGGCACAGACCTTAATGATAATAGCTACCCCTCACTGAGCCCTAATTGTTTGCCAGGCACTGAAGTAAGCACTCTATTTACATTATGTTAATTATATCAACTTTTTAATGAAATAGTATTTCTCCTCTTCCTGATCAAGAAAGTGAGACTCATAAGTTAGTCAAAAAAACACATAACAGATAAAAACAATGGGTAAATTTGAACTCAAAACGATCTGAGCTAGCAGTCTATGACCTTGATCACTGAGTTTATACTCCATTTGTGGGGAGGAAAAAATAATTTTCTTTCTACTTTTCATAGTTCTTAGCTAGGACCCCTTGTAATAAAAGATAGATTAATAAGAGAAAAACAAATAGAAGTTTATTGACATGTATACCTCATGTATATATGGGAGATACCCAGGGAATGATTAATAAATCTCAAAGAAGTGGCTTAGAATTCCAGTTTACACAGAACAATATGTTTTTGGAGAAGTAACAAGACAAAGAAAAAAGGACTTTGAATTTCTAAAGGTGGCAAATTGTAGGAAGGTAAACATTTCTTCTCTGGTGCTATCTCCAGGCTGATGAAAGATTGAAGTCATCTTCAATGAACAAATTGTGTCTTAACTGGGAGAGGGGAAATGGGACACATTGCACATTTATGCCCTGTTTTTGACTTAATTGAAGTGGGATAAAGAACTTTTCTTCTATCTGCTTCTTCTCAAGTGCCTTCAGCTCAAAATAATCCTTGTGCCAAAGGGGCGTGTTTTGGGGTGGCATATTCTGCATCCCTTGCCCGCCTTCTTTAGTCTTCAAAGTCTAGATGTCTATTGCAGGGACCCTGCCTGTTGACTGTCTAAAGGCTTGCTAAAAGATCATGGGCACAAGTCATACTGATTAATAAGAGAAAAGACATACAAACTTATTTAACATATACACATGGGAGTCTTCAGCATGAAGACCTGAATTTCATGAGTTACAGAAACTTAATACCATCTTGAGGTTCCAGGAAGAATGGGAGTTTGGATTCTGGTAAAACGGGTTATGGGAGGAAAAGAAGAGGAATTCTACTGTGGGGCAGCAAATGATCGCCAAGGAGAATGATGGATAATTGGGGGAATGAAGGGATAGGGAACAGAGACTGGCTTGTAAGCAGGTCTCTCTGGAAGTTGAATTAGCCTTAGAGACAGGCATTATTTTATAAAATGGTTGGGCCAGGTCTGGTTCCATTATTTCTCTTCTCTCCTGCCATAGATGACATAAAGACAGAGATGACATAGCGACAGCAGGGAGGGGAAGCAGCTTCTTTGGAGGGAAATGCCAGCGGGGTGGAAGGTCAGAGAGACCCCGAGGGTTCTTCGTTCAGCAGGTCAAAGCTCCATATGTTAGGGCATCAGTTTCTGAGCTCCAAAAAAACAAAGAGCAACACTCAAGACATTCCGAAGACAACATTAAAATGAATTGTGATTGCTTAAAACCATAACATAATTGAAAGTTTCTGCCTACACTGTCAATTAGAGCTTATTTAGATATAACACAGGAAATGCAAATCTACATGTTAATGATACATGTTTGTGGCGTAAACTTCTAGTCCTTCCGCACCCATGGAACTGGTTAAAAAATATGCTTTAGCCGCGGGTTCGAGACCCGCCTGGGCAACTTGGTGAGACCTCATCTCTACCATAAAGCAAAAATTAGCCGGGTGTGGTAGTGCGCACCTGTAGTTCCAGCTACTGGAAGGCTGAGGC